CCGAAGAACACCTGGTGGAGAACCGTTGAGCAAGAACTCAGGGAAATGGGTTTAACATGGAGAGAGGCAGAAAGGCTAAAAACCGTGTTGAGTGGAGGGAACTTGTGTTAACCTTATGTTCCGGTGGGAGCAACAAGAGTTAGAAGAGAAAGAGTCTGACGAGGCTGTGTCACAACACGTTTTATTTATTTCCAACGCGCGTGGTCGGTGCCTCTGATTGCGTTTATTTTGTTTTTTTATTTTCGAAATGCGTAACTGGCTGCATTTGTTTTGTTTTATGTTTTCCTCTCTTTCATTTTTCTTCCGGCTGCGGCCAATCCAATAATTCGTCGTCGCAGGTACTCAGACAAGCGATTAATCGTCACAGTCATTATACTAGTAGTTTAAGTCCAATATGTGCAGTTTTGTTTTGCGCACCCAGACACGAGCAAAAGTTAACCCGATAGACTTTCTGAACTACAGCATTCGTATTACCTATGCAAATTGAGTAAGGGTCATAGTGTGAGTTGCATTCGCAAATAACAAAGTGTCAAATTATTTTGAGCGTCGTTCAGAATAAATTTAGTCAAAATTACACACAGAAACACACACACACAACACACAAATACTCGTACTCAATACATATCATTGATTGATTGACCAGTTATATATCTGCTTGAACTATGCACACAAGGACGTAAATATGTAAATACAGGTCACAGTTCGATTTGCGTAGCAAACGTTACAATGTGTCAAGTGATTTGAAGGAGTCTTTGTCCCCCTTCCGAATACAGAGAAGCAATACGCGTTGTATTTTGAATCGTCATTAAAACCTAAATTTATTACGAATAAAAACATAAGTTTATAGATACAATGTATGATCATCGTTACTCCAGTGGTCAGTTAGCAAGCGGACGATGTTTCTGAAGCCAGCCATAGCAAGAGCGAGCGAACAAAAGCGAGCGAGCGAGCGAAAAAGAAGTGATCAGTTTCCGTTCGGAAAGCAGCGAGCGGCCGGAAATTAAGCGATAAGCATTCGGGAAAAAAAACGATAAAAGCGAGAGGTTGGGCGGAATGAGTACTGTATTCCTATCGAGGTCATAGTGTCAGATACATAATTTTTATTTACAAACATTGAGCCATGTCGAAAGTTAGGGAATTGTCAGAATTTACTAAAGGGAACATTGAAGCACTGTATACAGAAGGAGTTTCTATTACATGTATAGGGAAATAGCAAGAAGACTGGGAATTTCTGAAGGCTCCACACGTTTAGTGGATTTTAAATAAACTCATAAAACAAAATTATCATTTAACATTTCATTGATATGCAATTTAACTGAGACGCTTTCAAGAGCATTTTTCTGAAAATAATGTGAACACTAAATTTTACCTGATCTCCTCATTGCCCTCATTCTTGGCCAGAGCTGAGAAAGAATACAACATGAAGTAAATAAAAGATGAAAGCTTTTTACATTGGAATTTCATGAATTTTCATTAAAAAAATCATTGCCAGCGGCTGAATATTTTGCATTTATAACTAAACTAGTTTATAGATTCAAATTGTGTGTATTTTGACTAATTTTCAATTAAAAACAGCCACAGAAATAGGACTTAACATTATGGGAAATATACCTTGTTAGTCACATCATCCAGGTATTGCATTAACTCTATTAAAGAGCAATCCTTGTTATAGAATTATATCTGTGAATTTAGCACTATCCTAAATCTAGTTACATGTATAATGTAAACTATTTCAAATAGTTGAAATGGAGCAAAAATGTGAACTTACCTGAAGCAGCTGATGGTATGCTAACAACATAGTCCTTAATTTTGAATTCTATGTCTGGAACAAGTTGTACAGCTTGTCTGTAATATCTGATGGCTGAGAAGGAGGAAAGATAGTAATTCAGATGATCTATTCTAATTTTATAAATTTAGATAAAGAAAAACAATTTAAATATACACCACAATTAAAACAAAGAAGACACTTTAAGGATGTACCGGGGTAGTAGAGGTTTTTCAGAAGTAAAATATTTAATTTTATATTTTCGTAAAAAATTATTGCCTAATGTATTCATGACGGGATTGGTTACAGTTTTTGTCAAAATTCACCCCCCAAAGACATTTAAAATCATGTGTTTGGCAAACGAGTCTGAAAATATCACAGGCCATATCATACGAAACTTAACACAACAGAGATAAACAGTTGATTAGTACACAGCAATGACTCTAATTTGCATAAGAACCAATAAAAACAACACACATGAACCTGTATTGTAGCTCACACCTGAGAATGCATTGATTAGCCAAGTCAGACAGTGAGCTTTAATGTGACGGAGGACATTCAGGACAGTGCAACACCAGAAAAACTTGGCTGAGTAACTTTCTCCACCGAGTTTGTTGTTTTTGCATTCTCCTGATTCAAGCCAGGGCATTGAAACTGGTTGTGTTGAGGGTCCCTTTTTTAATTCTAGAAGCTAGTTCTCTGTGTTCAGTCTGGGAGCTACAGATGGTGGATGGACGTTTCGGTCGCGTACATTTCGGGCAAGAGTTTCAACAAGGGCAGACGTTTTGGCCTAAGTAGAGTTCAATGGTAAGATGACCTTAGAAACGTAATAAACTATATATTAAATATTTCTGTAACAACTGTATGCCAACATCACTTAGTAGACTATGTATTAAATATTTCTAGTAGCATTTTTGAACAATTTTATTAAATAGTTTAATTACTGTCTGTTATAGAAAAATGACCCGAGGATAAATATTTTAACTATCTTAAATTAGAACTACAATTTTAACACACGAAACACATTATACATGTACGTAGACTGGCACAGCTGTGGGGATTTTCAAAAAAAAATGGAAAAAATAGTTTTGCGAAAGGTTGGGTGAATGCGAAACCACCACAGACTGGTCTTATTTGCAGCTAATCTGTTGCTAATATTTATTCATGATATGCAATGACATCATTGAATGGATACAGAAAAGAAGTGGGGGCGTGCGCGCTGCATAATGAGGTAAACATGGTGGGTCACACTAAGGGTCAATTTGTCGACAGATTCAAACTGTTTTTCATCTAAACAGAACGGAGAAACTTCAAATGCAATCTATTTGCCGCTTCCGGTCAGAAAGGCAACGAAATGTCGTGGCTGTCAGTAAAACCATCAATTATTGTCTTCTGTGCAGATCGCGCTTCACTGTAACCCAGGCAAATAAAGCTACATGCATGCTACTTTTCTTCATTAGAATAATTTGTTTGGAACGTTATAAATACTAATTTGTTATTACGATCGAGAAACTTGAAGAAAAGTGAAGTCTTCAGGTACTAAGGTTAACTAGATATAGTTTAAAGGTCAAATTAATCTGATTGGATAACATTCTTGCAGGTAATGCAAGTTATTATGAGGTATAACTTTTTGTTATAATAGTTTTTTTCCTTTTGATAGTCAATTCTGGCTGGTGTTTCGCTTTTTTTCCCTTATCCTCGTGACCATCATGTAAATCATTTAAATACATGTACTTGAAACTTTACTTCAATTGAAACCAAGTAAATATATACAATTAAAAAAACAACGGATGTCAAAATGTCCATGACAGATGGCACGTCACTCAATGTGTTTCATGTACTGGCCAAAAAAATTACTACTTTCCACTCCAGAATATACTGAATATCTTTAAACAAACCTATACTGCCAACATTTACCGGTATTGTTATGAAATAACTGATATCAACACATATATAATGATGGGTGTGAATTTCACAATGAAAAAAAAATCATTATGTCCGCTTATGCCTATTATGTATATTAACAAGTCATGAATGACACTGCCTTCGCTAGTTGTCATTCTAAAGTTGCATGGACATAAATTGACAAACATGCTTTCTAAGGCATTTTCAAGTTTATAGCACTCTCCATCCAGGTCAGCATTATTCTCAGCAAGGAAACCAGATAGCACCAAACCAGTACAACAGGTAAAATGACAAGGAAGTATACAAATCAGATCTGCAAATATGTAGAGTCAATGTTGTGTTTGTTTGGATAAACTAGTTTGTGGCTGTGGATTAGTTTCAATATCTCTAATTAGGACAAGATTACTTCTCAATGATACAAATAAAGAGCAAAAATCCAGAAAAATATTATCAAGTTTTTATTATCATACATTAATATTAACAAATCGTGTGAAATTTTATGTAGAGAGAAACACATATTTATGCTTTGGTTGACAGACCTTCTCAAAGTAAAACAAGCAGGCTCTCGGCTGAGATAGCTCCGCTGTTAGCAATGCACATTTCAATTAAAGAACAGAAGATATCATTAGAAAATGAACAACATGTATAGTATCAAAGCAATGGGACTTGCTGTTTTCTACAAGAATTCAAAAATATCATTTTTCACCATAAATGATTGTGATTTTTAACAAGTCGAAAATATCACTATTTACCAAAAATGATAAAAATATTCACCAAAATTAGAGAATTAAGATATCATGAAATGAACAAATTTGAGAGTGGGCCACATGTAGTACCTATATACAGTTATATGTAATATCAAAGCAATTGGACTTGTGGTTTTAACATGAAGTCGAAAATATCATTTTTTACCAAAAATGACAAAAATATTCACCAAAATTAGAGAATTAAAGATATCATTACAAAATGAACATATCTGAGAGAGGTCCACATGTAGTACCTATATATGTAATATCAAAGCAATTTGACTTGCACTTTTTAACAAGAAGTCGAAAATATCACTTTTTACCAAAAATGACAAAAAGATTCACCAAAATTAGAGAATTGAAGATATCATTACAAAATGAACAAATCTGAGAGAGATTCACATGTAGTACCTATATATGTAATATCAAAGCAATTGGACTTGCAGTTTTTAACAAGAAGTCGAAAATATCACTTTTTACCAAAAATGACAAAAATATTCACCAAAATTAGAGAATTGAAGATATCATCATGAAATGAACAATCCCGAGAAAGGTCTACCCAAGGTACATATACACCAAGTATCAAAACATTCAGGCTTGTAGTTTTCAAGAAGAAGTCGAAAAAGTAAAACATTGACACGGACGACGACGGACAATCACTCAATACGATAAGCTCCGCTCGACAAAGTCGACAGCGGAGCTAAAAAAAGAACCTGCGAAACTTTATACAATTGTCAGACACGCAGTGAATAGTACCACCAGTGGCTTTGCTTTCTGAGAAAAAAATTCTGGCTCTGCACCTGACAAAAAGAAAGAAAACAAGCAGCCTATCGGCTGAGATAGCTCCGCTGTTAGCAATGCACATTTCAATTAAAGAACGGAAGACATCTTTAGAAAATGAACAATATGTATGGTATCAAAGCAATCGGACTTGCAGTTTTTAACAAGAAGTCGAAAATATCACTTTTTACCAAAAATTACAAAAATATTCACCAAAATTAGAGAATTGAAGATATCATTATGAAATGAACAAATCTGAGAGAGGTCCACATGTAGTACCTATATATGTAATATCAAAGCAATCGGACTAACGGTTTTTAACAAGAAGTCAAAC